ACTCACACACCCACATACACACACATAGCCTACACACACACACATAGCCTACACACACACACACACACACACACACACACACACACACACACACATACACACACACATACACACACGCACACACACACGCGCGCACCCGCGCACACACACAACAAAGTACAATTTAGATTATCTGTATTTTTGTGTAGCTTACAGTAATACGCTTTAATTTAAAAAAATAATATTTTGTGCCTTTTTCACCAATTGTCAAACACAGAGTGCGGTATAAGACTCGTGGCCCCCCAAAAAATTTCCTCAAATATTTCATTAATAGACGAATCAATGCCCTCTAAACGTTGCAAAGAAGATTGTATCATTACTTAATCATATTTTTTCACAACGACTTGGCCTAGATTTTAAAAAAAAATTATTTTTTTTCGATAGATTTATACATACTAGATCTATAATTAATCTCCCTCGTGCGGAAAATGGGGATTATTCACAGCGCTTCCCGCTTCTCACACACATTTAGCATAATTGCCTACGTCACAGCTCACCAATGACATTTTTTAGAGGCCAAACTTGTTACAAGAAATTAATTTCACTGTGAACACCTTTTTTTTACTCTAAAGGTTCTCAAAACGTGCGTTCAATAAGCATAATGTCGCAATAATTTATTTTTTTTAAAATGACGGACTTGCTTTTAAAAGCGATATTGTCCCAACTGCAAACTTTTCTGAATCTGTAGAAAGCAGAAACCACCCACTGGGATTTTAAAAATTAGTTTTCACTAAGTAGTTTTCTAGAATAAATCTAACAGGTGTTTTTTAAAATATTGATCTGTTAATTAAGACAAATTGATACACGTCAGTGTTCAAAAGCTGGAGACTTTATGTTCTAAGGTTCAGGATATATTTGACTAAAAGATGCCCCACGAATTTTTGACCGCTCTGAAGGTCCAATAATCCTTTAGTCTGGGATGGAACACTGAGAAATGAACGGAACCATTCACTTTCTTCGCACCTCGCTACACGGCTGCTGAACGTGTTCTTGGTGTGCACAAGCTGAGATAAGTTCGTAAACCATTTTGTCACATATCTTAAGGGGCTCTCGTGGCCTAAAGGTTAAGGTGTTCGCCTCTCATTCAAATGTCATGAGTTCGAATCCGGGTAGAGACGGAAAAGTTTTCTTTTCTAAAATTGTTTCCTTTCACCTCCTTTCCTGCCCTCTAGCAATGTTCTGTGATCTGCTTTCGTCCCCACTTTTCCCCCCACCCCCCCTTTGCTCCCTCCTATCTGGGCTCCTGACAGTTTCTGCAGCCTTTCTACTACTACTCCATGACTCCTTCTTACTGCTGTCTTTCAGCCACACTCCTGATCTTCTGGTAGGAAAGATTTTCATCTAGCCTTCTCGGACCAGGGCGAAAGATCTCGGATGTCCAGTGTGCAATTTGCGCATGTTAAAGATCCGTTGGTGGTCTAAAATCGATAAGAGTTGGCTTCTGCCGCCAATCGGGCAAAGTTCAAAATTTCCTACCGACTGGAAATGTTTGGTGTGTCCCGCGCGCTCGTATGACCTTATATGCAGTTGCGAGCGGCGTAAAACACTTACGACCCCCCAAACAACAACAACAACAACAACCACACAGACAAAAAACAAAAAAACCCAACAACAACCAACAACAAAACAACAACAAACAAACAAACAAAACAAAAACAAAAAAACTTATACTAAAAATATATTATATATATATAATATTATATTAAAACATATTTTTGTTGTTTTTCTACATAATTTTGCTTAAGTAAATATGTCATATGTAGTATAGCGGTAAGTATCACGTCTGTAACGTCGAGGTTGAGAGGGAAAACTGAAACAGCAGAGACGTTGAGAGAGGAGATAGTAGAGAGATTGAGAGAGAAGACTGAAACAGTAGAGAGATTGAGAGAAAAGGGGAGAAATTGAGAGAAAAGACTGAAACAGTAGAGACATTGAGAGAGAAGATAGTTGAGAGATTGAAAGAGAAGACTGAAAGAGTAGAGAGATTGAGAGAGGAGACTGAAACTGAAACAGTAGAGAGATTGAAAGAGAAGACAAACTGAAACAGTAGAGAGATTGAGAGAGAAGACTGAAACTGAAACAGTAGAGAGAGAGAGAGAGAGAGAGAGATTGAGAGAAAGGACTGAAACAGTAGAGAGATTGGGAGAGAAGATAGTTGAGAGATTGAGAGAGAAGACTGAAACAGTTGAGAGATGGAGAGAGAAGACTAAAACTGAAACAGTACAGAAATTGAGAAAAAAGACTGAAACTGTAGAGCGATTGAGAGAGAAGACTCAAACAGTTGAGAGATTGAGAGAGAAGACTGAAATAGTAGAGAGATTGAGAGAGAAGACTGAAACAGTAGAGAGATTGAGAGAGAAGACTGAAACAGTAGAGAGATTGAGAGAGAAGACTGAAACAGTTGAGAGATTGAGAGAGAAGACTGAAACAGTTGAGAGATGGAGAGAGAAGACTGAAACAGTTGAGAGATGGAGAGAGAAGACTGAAACAGTAGAGAGATTGGGAGAGAAGACTGAAACGGTAGGAGGAAGATTGAGAGAGAAGACCGTACAATTAGAAGAAACATCATAGAAGCTCAGAGGCTAGTTGAGAAACGTGGCCAGAAAGACGAACAGAGAATAAAGAGAGAATGGAAAGATTTTTTGATAAATTTAAAACAACGAAGACGAAAATAATTCTTTAAGACTGCAACCTCTTCAACGCTAATTACCATAAATAAGTATCCAATTTATATATAATGATTAAACCACTGATAACAATAATAATGATGCTGATGATGATGATAATAATAATAATGATGATGAT